GAGAGAGAGAGAGAGAGAGAGAGAGAGAGAGAGAGAGAGAGAGAGAGAGAGAGAGAGAGAGAGCTCATGGCTAACGAAGGACATAGATCAACATTCCACACCACTGCAGGCCAGGTGGACAGCCTCAATACATTGTGTCCACAATGCATAATGTCAAATGAATCAAACAAAAAAGAAAAAGATTCATCACATGGTCTTCCAAATGCCCAATAAGTTTTGCTCATTTCGAATGCTCTTAGTATCACCGAAAGTCATGTTGTTGGGCCAGTATATTCTGTCCACAGACTCCACCATGCATACTGTCAATTGAATAAATAAATAAATAACAAAGATTCATTACATGGTGTTCCAAATACCCAATAAGTTTTGCTCGTTTCTGTTACTCTTAGTATCGTTGAAACTTGAAAGGGATGCTGGTGGCGCAGGAAAAGGTAAGTGGTTCATCGGTAGCCAAGTTACCTTCAGCATGTTTGACTCCTTCCTCAGGTTATCATTATCAGCAGATGAGAGCCTGGAAATCATTACAGAAGCAGTTATAGAAAAGGAAAACCAGAAAAAAAAGCACTGTCATCAGCATCCCCTGAAAAACTGCTATGTTTAAAAATGTTGAACAAATATCCACCCTGGTCCCAGTTCCAGTTTCAGTTCCAGAATTGGCCCCGTGCACCATATTCCCATGTCCCAAGTCAGGAAGTAGGACAATAGGCCGTCGTAGGTAGTTTCCGATAGGTACTACTAGGCTTAGGGAGAGTCGGTACAAGTCAGTTGGCCCTTTTGTGTCATCCATTCCAGCCAGCAGCAAAGTCCCAGGAAAGTCAGGGAACTTGTCGAAGCAAAAAACATTGGCAGAGGCACCGGCCCATAACCAGTTAGGAATTTCGGAAACAAAACGTTGGGTACAAAGTCCAGTTGTTGAAGTCATCAACTCATATTCAAGTGTGTGACTAGGCGGAAGTGCTGCTTTCCTGTTTTGGGATGCATTGTACACGGTGCTGCAGGAAGTAGTCGACGGCGCTGGGTGCCCATAGTGATAGCTAGGTCAACTACAGAGAGAGAGAGAGAGAGAGAGAGAGAGAGAGAGAGAGAGAGAGAGAG